GTGTGTGTGTGTGTGTGTGTGTGTGTGTGTGTGTTGGGGGAGAGCAGGGTTTGCCCACCGAGAGAGGAGGATGAAGGAATGGAAGGAGAGGAGGACAAATCTAGGATGTGCCTCCTCATGCGTTTCTCAGAAAAAAAGTCTCATGAGGTCTTTTCATTGAAGGGTTTCTCCTGTATTGTCCTCTGTGTCTTTGAAAGATTTTCTTTTTAGTTTTTTAGTTTTTTTTGGCTAATGAGTATTCTCACTGTACACACGTACACACACTCCGACTTGCCACACAGATTATCACAGTAATTATGTGTAATTGATTTAGATCCTCCTTGTTGTGGCACATTTTGATCCTGGCTGATCCGTCGATATCCTGCTGCACCACAGCAGTGGTTAAACTTGGCTTACAGAGTGTGTTCTTGTACATTTGTGCTTGTGTGTGCAAGGAGAACTAGTCACAGCCATAAGAGTCTTCATCTTAATTTCTTAAAGTTAACAATCAGGAGAGGCAGATGATCTTTTTCAAAGCATTTATTTTTTTTTAGAAAAAAAAGACAAACATATGTCCTAAAAGATTRTTGATGTGGCAAACATTTCTTTGTTAATTTAGTAGTAAAAAACAAATGTTTATCAGTGTTTGACACAACAAGCAAGCCTGAACACAAGAAATGATCTATGTGCCTCTTTAGAGTGATCAGCAAATGGTGACTAATAGGCCAAATCTGGCACATAAGCTCATTCCATTTGGCTTGTGAAGTATTGAATCAATTATAAAATCAGTTCAATGCAATCATCCTTTTGCTATCTCCCAGCATATCATCAGGCCTCACGAAGACGCAGGCTCTACATTTGGCAGGAAACCTGTCACCGAACCTCTGGGGTGTTCTAGTTGTTAAGTTCAGAGGGATGTGAGAAATACTGAAATGGAAGAAACCCGAGTCCAGCATCAGATAAACTTAGTTTTCATACATGTTGTTGCTTACATCAATTTTTCTAGGAGGTTTCTCGCAGTAATAACTGTTGACACAGGTTTGTGAACTTCTCAATATCACAGTCTGTCACAGTACGAGTTTATTTCAATTCAGTTCACAAGTCTGTGACCGATATGATGCGATATCGTATGCCCATCTGACATGAATTACTGTGTTTGAGTGGGAATATGGTGACGCTATGGATTTTCTTTTTCATTTTGCTCTGATGTAACTGAATCATTAATCATTTAACCAATATGTTGATGTTGAGCGACACCGTTACACCTGCACCTAGAAGGTACATTAAAGTCTTGTACATTAGATTTCCTCATGTTACTCACTTAATAAAATAAACATATTAAACTTCTGAGTTCACCTCTTTTGCTGCTTGCTTCCCAGCCTGTTGTTGCTGTTGCTGCTGCTGCTGTTGCTGCTGCTGTTGTTGCTGCTGAGTCAGAAGCTGGAGATGTAGCTGCTCCTGCTGCTTCTTGTAGTACTCCTGTAACTACAGGCAGACACACAAAAAAAGGGGGGAGAGGGGCATAGAAAGATGAAGCGATTGAGTCAAAATACACTTTCTTACATAGCTTTCTGTCACCAAAGTGATCCACTGTAGTCAGATATTGTCAGTTAAATAATTCAGCTGCTTTTGAGGCCTCTGCTCGCAGCTTATTGTTATGAAGCTGCTGCACTGACAACAACAAATGCTGGCCTCGCAAAGAGCGCTGAGGTACATTGTGTGCAGCTGTTACACTATGTCAAGCTGTGTGGCAAAGTAATTGTGTATGTCAAGGCTAAGCCCTGCAGGATTATTCACACAGTTCAGGCTCTGTTTTGCAAGAATTTCTTGTGTCTCAAAAGAGGCAGTTGCACTAGCTACTGACCAGAAATGCACCTGTAGGTGAGGATATCATCGACAACAGCACGACTAAAAACAACTGTTCTAAAGACAAGATAAATGCACATTTTGGTGTTGCTCATACACATTTAGATAAAATTTACTGTAATCAGTGAAGCACTGTCATAAAACACACTATGTGWGTGCTCTCTTATTGCCAAAAGTCTGAGGCCATAAATCTTAAACAAGCTGTTTTGATACGAAATACAGAGAAGTAACTCTGTTGCGTACGGTTATTTATTAATTTTTTTAGCTGTGCATCATTTATCACAAGTTATGAGCTAACGAGGTGACAGTGGGGTGTATTTATGCCGATTGAAGCAGCAATCTGGAGCTTTTGAAGTGGGGTTCTGCAGAGAGTTTATAAACATATAACATCTTACATGTTGCAGATAGCTCTTTGAAGATGCTCAGTATTCTGACAGGCTTGACAAGCTAACAGTTCGTCTGAGCAGCGCCAAGGAAAAAGTGCATTGCCGTTGACTTCAAACATGTCCAATCTCAGAGATTTCAAAGCAGTTCAACGAAACACTATTTTATAAACCTTTACATTGACACCAGTTTCACATTTCTCACTGCTTATTCGGCAGACTCCTGCTTGCTGTTTTTGGACCTCATGGTAAAATCTATTAAGTGGCCTTTCACTCCGTAGAACAGTAAAATTGTAATTTTTTGATGCTTTTCAGTTATCTTCTGTGTTGTTTCATGCATTTTTCACTGTAACAGAATAGACCCTTTCATAGTTATGATTGAGCATGGACATAGTACATACAGTACATGTCAAGTCGTACGGATTGTCCGTAAATTAAACAGATTTTCCCCCATTTTGCAGGAATACAGACATTTAGAGAAATCTCACTGATTTTTGTCAAATATTCGGCTTCAAATTTATTTTACACCTCAGAGTCTGTAGGAAAAAAACAATATATAAAATTATATATTTTTAATATAACCACCTCCCAACCCAAAATATCAGTACTTTTTTGAATTGACCAGAAGAAAGTGTGGGAGTAATACAGATTTTTTTTGTGAAAATTCTGGATTTTTGACAGTGTACCGGTAAATGTCGACATGTATGATAGCGGAACATGACCTTTCCAGGTCACAGATCACACAGGATGAACGATGAGGTTTCTGTGGAAACATTACTGGAAATTAACAAATTCAAAAAGCTCAAAAAGCAGATTCAGAGCTTGAAGATATTTATGAACATCTTATCCATAAACTTGAAGGAAAGTTTAACACAAATCAGTTTAGAGCAAACCCATTGGGTCATAGATACACAGCAAATATGGCAGTGTCAAATCAACATCAATAATGTTAATTCATCACCGTCATATTTGATGTTTGATGATGTAAATTTACTGATTGAATTTGTTAAATTCCAAAGAAGTTTCAATAGCAGACTCAGCATTTATCCCAAACAAACGTGTGAACTTGGCCCGCTTCATGCATGTCTAACTATTTGTAACTGATTTATTGCATTACATGGAATTTTATGGCTATTTGCAAGAACAACAGCAGTATCAGCTATTTCAGCAGGACAACCTTAAGATTTTTTTCTCTTTTTCTTCGTTGTTTTCTTAGAAAAACTGTAGAATACAAAGTGAAAATAAATAAATAAAAAAAAACAAAAAAAAAAAACAATGGCAACGTAAAAGTTCATAACATAAAGCTCTTATGAACCGTTATGAAATTTATTTGTTTTAAGATGCCGCCATCTGCTTTTATCTCGGTCCTACTCGGACTAGCCGTTAGCTTGTCACTATGGTCAGATTTATCCTCTATTCTCAAAATCGAGGTGGATCAACAAGCTACAGCAGGTAAGATATTCATTGTTCAGACCTTTCCCACGGAATCCTCAAAAAGTATGAGCGTTCTTAATGTTTTTCCTATTTTAAGAAGCTTGAAACACTTTAGTGCAATGACTTGATAATATTAGATTAAACATTGTGTTGTTAATGGAAACAAAGACACACACTCCCAAATGTTTCCCATTCATTTACACAAACACACCCAGTGTCCTCTGACTGGCCACAGCGTGTCTGTTTGTTTGAGTTGGTAATCATTAATTTACCAAGGAAGCTCCATTAAGATTACAATCTTGATGTGAGGAGAAGGCAGAAAGGAAAACTCTCACTGATCACAGTGTTTGCTGCTCTGTGAGCGTGCATGTGTGTGTGTGCGCAGAGAGGGGGTTATTCTCTTGAGAACAGCTTGTACATGTGTCAGTCTGCAGTTTGTCTTTGTTTCATGGTGCATCAAATGTTCAAAGAGGCTTTTCAGCGGAGAATGACTTCACAGTGCAGCAGTTGCTTCGGTCCCTCATTCGTCTGACCCTACAGTGAGCAGACTACACACCGCTGCCCATCCTCACCACACACCCTGTGAGATGTAAAGCTGTTTCACATTATCCAGTTTCAGTCTTAACTCAGCCATAGTTTCTTTTTTTTAAAGTCTTTTCCCTAAGACGCTCCTTCTTGTCCTTAATTTATTTCAAAAGCAGGACTCATTTCTCCTCTCTCCTTCTTTATTTTCCATCTGTCTTTCGTCTCTTTTATCACTCCTTAGGCAGAGTTAATCTCTCTTTTCTGCGTCACTAGCCCTGATCGCCTCCTAATCACACAGACAAATGCATATGCGAGCACACACACACATATGCACACACTTGGCTGGAGAGAGTGGTGAGTTGAAGGAATAATTAAGTGATAATTAAGGTCTTTTAATGATTTGATTCAGTGGCTCTGTACATTAAGTGTATGTGAAAGTGAGGCACTCACCTCTCCAGCCTATTACCATGACCTTGACTTTAGTGAATGCGCCAAGAAAGAAAGGCAAAGCAGCCATAGCATAAGGAAAGGTTAGAAGAAAACTTAAAGGTTAACACACAAACACACATGCAGATCCACAAATTGGTGCCTGGACAAACACACAACTGCTTTGTAGCAATGGGCTGTAAAACTTACTTACACACTTTTACACAGCACACTATTGCCATGGGGATATGAAATTTAATGCTTCAGTGAGTGATGTGTTAGTTGATTGTCCTGTGTGTGTGTGTGCGTGCGTGCATGTGTGTGTGTGTGTGTGTGTGTGTAAAAGTGCCTGATTTGCAGATATACACTAAGTGCGTGGTCCATACTGTGGTTAATTAAGTGGGAGAGCAATGTTAAACTCAGTGGTTTTTATTAGCAGTGCAGTGAGTGAGAGTGCATTATCAACCGCTCTCCAGTCCAGTTTTTTTTTCTTCTAGTTGCAGAAAAAAACAAGTTGTTAAGAAGGTTCTTAGCCATCCGCACGTCTGTTTCCAAAAAACCAGACACATTTCCATTATGATACATGTTGTCAGATCTTCCCACTGCAATTTATACTCGCCTAAAGCTACCACTTCTTATTAAATCTGCTATGTGCTCTGGTTTGCCTGAGTGTGTATGTGGTGTTTTCTAGACAACCTCTACTGTGCAATTACTGCGCCGTCTCCACAATGTTAACAGACGTATTCACACCCTTTACATGTGTGCTTTGCTCTGTGTAGGTAGGATTGGAAGAGTTGGCGTAGCTAAGTGTTTGACAAATCTACTAGAGATTATGTCAACATGGCAACTCTTCTGCATCAACACACACTCCTGGATCACCGTGAGTCAGGTTTAAAGCTAAACTGCATCATTTTAAGCATTCTAAGCATTTTCTCCAAACTGCACTCCTAAAAAGAAATTCACAAAACAACCATGTGTGCTGCCTTAATGTCAACATGTTGCTTRTCTTCAAAAGCACCGCAAGGTTGGTCAAAATTTTATTGTGTGCTATGAATCGTCAGAAAGATTGTCACAATTAATATTTGGTGATTACTGTGATTAGTGACGCTTGATGATGAAATAATTTTTGCGTGCGACGCACTATCAAGTATGCATGTGGTAAAATGGTGGAAGATGCTGGGGAGCTAACGCTATTACAGGRCTAAAGTTTTTGAGGAGCTAATACTATTTGCGAGGCTAAGGCTATCATGGAGCCAACAGCTGTGTCCAAAATGGCAGGCCGGGTCCTCCGAAGGCCGAATTCGTCGGCCGCATATGTCATAGCACCACGATGAAGGATGTCCCAAACCGAAGACCCCTGCGATGCGACTGACAAATACGTCCTTCCTTTTCCCTGATTTGAAGGACAGGTCTGATGGATCCTTCCCGGCCCAGCATATCATATAATGCATTGCGGTCCGACCGGAGACTTTTTGAAGCTAGTAATGGCGGACGAAGCGAGGGAAAAGAATATGTTTTAAATAAAAATATGGTGATATAAAAATTAAAAAATTTTAGCGGTTGTAATTCTAATACTTTTATCATTTGTATAAACATGTTTTTAAATATTATTTTTGTCATAAAAAACGCGAAATAAACATGCACCGGGTCAATTAGTTCTTCAAATGTTACCTTTAAGTTAATTTTATTGTTTTGTGATATTAGCAATGCTAATATATTGATATTTTTCTATTTTTGCTTCTGTTTCGTCATTGTTGCTAAGTGACATGACGTACGCCGGGGAAGAGGGGAGGCTAGACCGTCCAAATTCACAGCCTCTTTTTTTTCCCGGTCTTCCCAGTCTATCAAGTTCCCGGCCCACCTCGACTGGGTATTCTGGGTCCTCCGGAGGACCCGGCCTGTCGTTTTGGACACAGCCAACGCTATTGCGGAGCTAACGTTTTCATGGAGCTAAGGCTGTTATGGAGCTAACGCTAATAGTACGAATTTGTGTAATTAACTGAAACATAAAMTGGAGTATGTGGACAGCCAGAATATGCAGAAAGAAACCACAAAGTCAGCTACAACAAACTCTCCTCCAACTAATGGTGGAAACAAATCTACTCAGCTATGAATCCACATTACACTCAGTATGTCCTTTATGAACAGCAAACTAAGAGCTAGAAGGAGATAACATGACGCTGGTCATTAGAATTACGAAGYTAGTTTGACTGATGATTTGTAAGTATAATTTTAAAGCACAGGGTAATCGCTTTAGAGTGAGAAACATGTAAGTGCATTTGTAATCTATTAATTATAATACTAATCATTATCAGCTATATAACACAATTAAATGTGAACCTTTTTTGCCAACTTCGTCTAACCCTACAACACAGTCAAGCCCAAAGTAATTTTAAAAAAGACACATATTTAAAAACACTAACCTGAGATGGGTCTAAAGTAGGAGTGGGCAACATTTTTTCTGCCCAATCCYGTTCCTCAAGGGGCACTATCTTACATATTTTAGCTGTTTCCCTGTTCTTCAGCGTGTCTCAAAGTTCTGTAGAAACCTGCGACTTACTCATTCATTCAAATAAAGTGTGATAAAGTAGAGAAACAACCAACATTTTTCTCAGCTTTGATACACCTGATTTGAAGGAACGAGGGATTCTRCAGAACTTGAAGACATGCTGGAGCGTAGGGAAAGAACATGAAGGCCCTCAAGTACCAGGATTGGGCACCACCGCCCCACCCCATTCCCCTGTGCCTACCATTGGTCTTTAATTTGAAGTCTGGAAAAGCAACAGTTAATTTTTTTCTACTGTAAAATAAGACATCTCTACAAAATCAGACTAAAGGTGAAAATGCAGCAAAGACTGTTCTTCTCTCGAGACGCATTAATAAAAAAAAAGTTACATTTTGGGTGGCCACATTTTGACCATGTGTGGTGTAAAAAGAAGGTGTGTGTTTTTACCTGCTGAAGCATAAGAGCCTGTTGCTGCTGCAGAAGAGCCTGGAGCTGAGGGGGCGACAGAATCTGCTGCATCTGCTGAGGAGTGATCATCTGTGGACTCATCATGGCCATGGACACAGGCACCTGGAGGAAAAAAAATGGGAACACACACACACATTTTAAAACTATACACACCAAGGACACCAGCATGTCAAACCAGGACAGCTCAGTCAGTCAGCAGGTGAGGCTTTGTGTAAAAAAAGGCTGTCAGCACAGAAAGCATGACTTTACCTGCATCTGAACGCTCCACTTAAAACAATCTGCAGCAAAGAGGTATTTATAAAGGATGCTGGCAGGTTAGTTAAAGAGGTGTGTTGTCTTTTGTTCTTTGTTGTCATTCACAAGAAAAACTGGCAACATCAGATAAACAGACGCTCAAACACAAGATGCATATTGTTGACACTACCCTGCACAAAGCTGGCACTGTTCAAAACCTGTCAATTCCTGTGGCAGCCATCCAAGATAAAAGGACTGATATGTAATCRACCAATAAAACACAAAATCTTATCTGCTTTTCTAAACACATGATTACGACCGGCTCAGATTCTCTCCATCCAGAAAAAGCCAGGGTCTGGCCAAGAGAAGAGGAACAACAAAGTGGGTATCTGATGAGATAAAAATCTTATCAGATAAAGCTGCAGGCAGCTCACAAAATAAAACAGAAATAAGGAAAAAAGTAGATTTTTGCAGATGCATTGACTTTTTTGCAACCACGGTGCGTTGTACACAGACATGTGCAGAGATGCTAATCTGGCTACAAACACTGCAACTCTGACGACAAACTTACCACATAAAAACACGAAACTGAGAGCGCAAACGCACGCGCAAAAGAAGAGAAACCACCGAAAAAAATCCCGCTGACAAAGCACTTTCACATTTGTTGACTGTTGGAGCTACACTGCAGATGAATACTATAGTTAATAAGAGGGATAACGAGACAGAAAAAAGGAAACATTTGTGATGAGGTTTGAGATTTTTTTTCAAAAGATAATTTTTTTGAATTGGTTCGAGGGATGACTGCTTCCTCTTTCACTGCCTTTGCATCAATAACATTTAGCTTTCTTTTTTCACAAACAGACACCATATCCTGATGAGAGATAACTGCTTCACAATAAAATAAACAGCATATATTTACCACCTGAGCAGTTAGAAGAGGAGGTCACCAGTAAACATACAGTATGTGTAAAAAGCCAGTTTGCCTAAACACGATTAGCTCTAATACCATCATTACAACCTGTCATCCTCTGTTTTTATTGATTTATTTTTTTTTAGATAATGATGATGTAGTTGGGGGAAAAAGGACAACAGCGAAGGTGGGTGTGAGGTAGAGGAGGTTTACGGGATGCATAAATTGATAAAGCAGTGCAAGAGTTTTATTTTATTATTTTATTTTGAGGGGGTAACTGTAGGGACGGATGGCGTTGTGGCCGAGGAACAAGCGAGCGAGGACGGTGGCGGTGGGGGGAGGTGGATCAGCACGAGCAGGACGGGGGTGGTGATGGGTACCGCTTGGCGTCATGCCAGCTTGCCCCCGCTGCCGGGCCTTGTCAGTCTAAGCTGCCAAATGAAAAGCTGTAATTAATTGCTCTTGTGCATCCCCATTCTTCCTCCCCGACGACTCGTACATTCTATTTTATACACACCGCCGCTGACATTTTCGAGTCACGGGCGTAATAATTACTGGAGTTATAGCACCTTTCTGTGTGTTGGCTTACGTTCTGATGCCTGAACCACGTGTGCGTTCCTGTGTGCAGATATACTGTACTGTATGTGTGTGTGTGTGCATGTGTGGCAGGCTGAATGTTGAGTAGTTAAGGTTTGACGCCATTAATTGCCCCTATAATCTAATATCACAAAGCGTGGTGATTATGGGGCATGCGTTGCCACCGCCATACGACACCGTCAGCCTCAGAGCCCCCCACCACAAAACAAAAGCCTCGCCATTAGCGATTTGACGGGCCAGGACAAAAGCGTCTCACAATGCAGAATTATATTTTCATTCGGCTTTGTCTCTCCTGGTGAATGATTTCTCCCCTTTCATTGGACTGTGAACAGGGAGAGTCTGAAAAGCCGGGTGATTTGAAGTCAGCCATTTATTAAATGCATTTCTTTTTTTTTCTCTCTCCCCCTCGCTGTCGACCTTTTTTTTTTCCTCATGTTGCATGTTAATTTAAAAGAGAGAGATGCGTGGTAGATTAGTGGGAGGAGGGGGGGATGAAGGTGCAAGCAGGGAGAAGACTGAAGGAGGGATCCTAGAAGAAAAGCGAGGACAAAACGAGGACGGGGGAAGAAATGTAAAATAATGATTAGAGGAGATAAAGTTTTTAAAGGTGTCACACAGAAATTGAAAGAAACTATATACGGTAAGTAGGTTTTTGGAAGACGAGCGTGTGGCCTGAAGCAGTGGAAGTGTGAGCGCGAACATAAACGCATTTACACGCTGAAATGTGGGCGAACAGTCACGCCGTCTCTCGCTGTATTAATCCCAGCCGCTAATAATAGCGAGATTAAAAAACATAAGACATCAGTCGTATCATTAACATGCGAGGGTAAGTCACAAGTTGGCTCGCGCGGCTGCGCACACGCGGGGGCAGACACACACTTTCTGAGGGGTTGGAGGCTGACAGAGGTCAACCGCTGCTATGGATGGAGGGAGCTGGGGGAGGCGGGGATGCGAGAAGAAGAGGAGAATCAGGAGACAGCCCTGTCGTTTACAGAGAGCGGAGGAGTAATTAGAGGGGTTGTTTGAAAAGGGGAGTTTAACTGATTAACAAAGGAAGAGAGGGAGCTGGGGGAGCGCCCTGAAAGATGGGAAGGAGAAGAAGGAGAAAGGCATGAGGTCCCGGAGGAGAGGGAAGAGAGGAAAAAAGCGGGGAATGTAACTTGCATTTCAATGAGGCTCCATCCCTCCTCTCCTCTCCTCTTCTCCCTTGATGACTTTTCTTTTTTAACCAGGGAAGAAAGCCTTTCATTACTTTCTATTTCAGATGGAACCTTAGGAAGACAGGAAGGGTTGCTATTTGTTATTAAATCAGCTAGCAGCTATGGGCAAACAGTGTCTGCTAACCTGGAACTAAACTGAGCCTTTAACTATAACTTTGACTGAGGACACAACACACATGTTTCTGGGGAGTGGTAGCACAAGACGAGCACAGAAACYATGTGAAGGTTTACAACACCCTCTTGAGCCCAACATGCACAAACATTTCATGAAGTCAGGTTGCAGCCATGGGTTAGGGTTAGGCATCCCAAATATCAGAGCTAATGAACTGAAGAGGACATTTCTCACTTCCTCAATGAAACAGATGTGTCCACAATAGAGCACGAGTCATTCTCAAGTGTTTCCTCAAACCAAGCAAAAAGTTCTCTTAAGGAAGAAAGAGGTAAGATGGAATTACATGAACCTTTTTCAAACATTGGTCTACTGGTTTGAGACACAAGATGCAAACACATTCCTTTTTGCTTGGGTTCAACATGACTAGAGCTACAGAGAATAATCTTAACAATGGAGACTAATCTTAGTGATTTTATGTCCCTGCTTATCAGTGTGCTGTACAACCCCAGGTTTTGTGACTCAGGGACGAACACATCCTGGTTTGGTAATAAAAAAACATTACGACTGAGCTAAAAGTAGGTATAAATTTGTTAGGTTTAGAAAAGAATAACAGCTTGGGCTGTTTTTTATTTATTTATTTATTTGTATTTTGCCTTAACTGTTATATTATAGTAAAAAAATCATTTCAACAACTAACATGCACCTTTCTGTGCGACCAGAAGAGGTTGCATCATTCTTATAACAAAAC